TCTACCCATTTGGTGAAATAGTTGGTTGCAACTATAACAAAAGTATGTTGCTTGGACGATAGAGGGTAGATCTTCCCTATTAGATCTATCACCCAACCTTTGAACGACCAAAGTTTAATAATAGGTGCCATTTCTCGTGCTGGCGCCCTTTGTATTGGACCATGCTTTTGGCATGCTAAACAATTTTTTGCATACTGAACGCATAGTTCTCCCATCTTTGGCCAAAAATATCCACTCCTAATAATTAACCATCTCATCCTTTGGCCAGCTTGATGAGCTCCACATATCCCTTCGTGCATTTCAGCCATGATCGTCTTGGCTTCTTGCAAACTTACACACTTTAGTAATACACCATCAGAGCGTTTCTTAAACAACTCTTCATCTATTAGTGTGTAATTCAGCAAAATTAGCTTCGTTTTCCTACTAATCCCTCCATTAGGTTCTTTAAGGAACCCTTTAATCTCTGTTCTCCAATCCACTGCATCTCCATCTTGTATACAGTGAAGTTCAATTTTTCTCGCCTTTCTTTGAGTTACGGGCAATATGGTTCCATACTCACAAGTAGACTTCCAATTCAAGACCTTTGAGTACCCTGAAGCCATTTGGGCTAACTTATTTGCCACGTCGTTATATATCCTATTAACGCATTGAAGTTCTACTTGATCGAATTCCTCTAATAATTCTTGGGCGATCTCATATTGATTTATAATGAAATCACTTTGGCATTTAAAATCACCGATCAATTGATGTATCACCAATTGAGAATCGCCCCTAACGATCACATTTCTTACTCCCAAATCTATCATTAGTTCTAGGCCTACAATTAAGGCTTCATATTTAGCCTAATTGTTGGTGCACATTCTGTCTAAGGTGAATGCAAACTTGTAGCAAATCCCTAAAGGATTAATCAATGCTACTCCTACTCCTGCACCTTTAGAGGTTTTTGACCCATCGAAATACAACACCCAAGGTTTTAACTCGAACGAATTGATTTCTAGTTCTATTTCTTCAGGCACGTCAAGGCATGGATGATCGGCTAGAAAGTTAGCCAAAGCCTGATTTTTGACTGCCTTTTGAGGTATATATTGTATTTCGAACTCTGATAAAGCTAGTGTCCAAAGGTCTACCCTTTGGTGTAAAATAGGGCGCGAGAACATATACTTAACTAAATTTACTTTAGATTAAATAAACGATTACAGGTCGTAAATAAGCCCTTAATTTTGTACATGTGAAATACAGTGCAAGACACAATTTTTCAACAGCAGAGTAATTACATTCACATTTCGTTAACCGTCTACTTAAGTAGTAAATTGCCCTTTCTTCACCAAATTAGTCTTCCTGTGCGACCATTCCAGCTATTGATTCCTTTTCAGCCGATACATACACTTTCATTGGCCGTCCTTGGATTGGTGACACCAACACTGGTGGACTTGATAGATATGTCTTCAGGCTTTCAAAAGCCTTTTGATGTTCTTCTTTCCAGACGAATTTGTCCTG